GGGGGGGCAAAAACAAAAACAAAAAAGCACCCAAGTGATGTAAAGGCCCTTGCCACCTTCCACATGTAGACTAATCCCTAGCCAGTCTCTGAGCAATGGCTACCTTCCCCAAAATCACCTTCCTCTCCATTTTACGGCTGATCATGACATTATATGGCATGGAATGTCCCTTTGGTCATTTTGAGTTAGCTGTTCTTGTTGTGTCCCCTCCCAACTTCTTGCGCACTCCCAACCTACTTGCTGGGGGGGAGTTGGAAAAAGAGATAGTATTGACTCTGTGCAAGCACTTCTCAGCAATTGTCAAAACACTGGTGTGTTATCAGCCCAGTTTTACTCACAGGTTCAAAACATAACACCATACTGGGTGCTATGAAGAAAATTAAGTCCATCCAAGCCAGAGCAAATACAATTAGGCCATGAAATTATCTTCTTTTTTCCCCACTGTCGTGTTTTCCCCAAGCGAATCTGTTTTATTTGTCCTCTCCAATCTTTTTACAGTGTACAGCACTTACATGCAGTACTGCTATGAAATCTTCTTTTGCTTTATATTTTTGATTCCTTGTGTTCCTCAGAACAAATGGATCCATACTCTCTACCAATGAACCCAGCAGCATGGGCTGTAGGATTTTGATAACCCAAGACATGCCATGCTCATGGGCTACAGAATGTATTGATACTCTTACAGACTCTGGTGTTGAACACCCAATTAAAACTCTTCCCATTTGACCCAAGACACTTAGGTTGTTTTATTTCTGTATCTGAGTACTTGTTTTATCAGAAGGTTATGATCTTTTCCTGTTTCTTCTGAAAGTTCATTTAATTCTAACAGTTTACTAACAGTTAACAAGTACTAATTAATGATTTGTGTTACTTAAATCATATTACAGTAAAAAGACTTCTGAAGGGAGCAACACGTGTATGTACCAGTTAGATGTTCAACTCTCGTTATTGAACTTCTAGCTTAGTCATTACCAGAGCTACCTAAAAATTAAGATTTCTGGCTCAGAAGAGTTATTCTTAGTTTATTTTGTTGCTAATCTGAAGTCATTCAACAGTAGCTATTATGCACTGAAAAAGTTAGATAAAGATTTATTGTGGAAATAATGAAGCACCATATTTCCAGAATGCACTTCTGGACCTGGACCCTTTATCTTGGGAAAAAATTACATTCTCTTAGGTAAAAACATTAGCAAAATGACATGAAGATTAATTTTACTGAGTAGCTTTTACATGATAACGAGCTGTGGTTCTAAAGCCAACGTTTTGCAGTTTGCAGACTGCCATTAAGCTGGAGGTCTGGGAGACCCCCTGGACTTGCAGGCTCTGTGTTTTGCTTGGAAGCAGAGTGTCGGCTCTAGCCTTTTCTTAATTTATGAGACACATGCCTAAACTTGTGAATAAAAGTTGCATCTATCAGTACAGCTTTCATTGTAGTCCACCAAAATAGTAACCACAACCCTGAGAAATATTCCATCAACATACTTCTCCCCAAGAACCAAGTGCTTCTCATAAATCTTTTCTTGTGGTGGTAACCAGTATTCATCCCAGCCCCTCAGGCTACAGACTCTTCTATCGAACCTCAGGCAAAGCAAAATCTTCACACTCTGACTGCTTAAAGAGCCTTCACTTTCTCACAGTGTACAAACAAAGATTTTTATTATGCCATTAAATCTCTTTATTTCTTGAATATAACTTAAAAATAGCTCAATAATTGTTTCTCAACAATTTCTCCCACAACTAGAATTTCTTCCAGTGTTAGACACTCTGAAAACTAGTTATGTGTATTAAAACACAGTTCAGATTTCATGTCGTCTTCCATGAATACTGTATCACTTCTGTTTATAAAGGATTCTGCCTATTGCAGCTGCAGTAGGAGAAGCCATTTCCAGTTCAAATGGAATTTCAGTTTACAGCAGCAGGTCAAAGTTCAGCTTTTAAAGAAGAGAGAGAAATCTTCAAGTTATTCATAGTAATTTAAACCACATGAATCTTGTAAGTTAATGGAATTCTTGTCTCTTTTCATGGAAGTTTAGTAATGCTATTGCTGTATATATTAGCATTAAAAATAGCTTTATAAACCTCTGATACCTGTTTTGGTTTAGTGTAATCCATATATTAATTGTAATGAAATATTTACCATTTTTCTTGTATGTAATAAACCACTGAATATATCTCAAATCACAAACTCTAGTAAATATCTTTAGGACTATGAGAAGAGACTGGAAGAGAGGGATGTGATTGACAGCAAAAATTACCTAGATGCACACAGAGCAGTTGTTGCCAACTATCTACAGAAGGTAAGCTGCAAAAAATATGGATCCACCATATTTCTCTAGGCGATATGTTGCTTCTATACTTGGATACTTTATTTCCATGTATACTAAAAACTGATTCATCTCTAAATATGACCTACAGGCATCTTTAAAATTCCAAGTTAAGCCTGAAACTGGGCTAATTGAACAAATGGAGGTTTGTGAATGACTCATGTAATGTTACTGAAAAAGATGTGATACGTGAAATGATCAGCCATTCTGGATGTTTTCTAGCAGTTCTGTAAATTTGGTTTTGCTTCATTTTCCCAGAGATTGGTCCTCTTGTGTCCCAGGTATTCACTGATTTCCCTCTCCTCCCTATTTTCCTTCTTGTAAGCTGTGATGCTAAGAACTTAGTTAGCTCCGTGAAAGTGGCCCTACCCACCGTTAAAAATCATTTAATGCAATACACAGTGTCTTGCCCTGCAGCCTAAGGTACAGGACTATCTTCCATCACATTACCTTCGTTGAGGTATTAGAGTAACAACATCTCCCCCTTATCTTGATTTAATTTATTTTTCTAGTCTGCTCATTCTATTAGGATGACATTCTCTTTAATCCTTAGGGAAAAAAATGATGGGAAAACATTGGTCATATAACCAAGAGAAGTTTGCAATGTCAGACTATTTTGGTAAAATAGCAAGTGCAAAACATGGCTACCAGTTTCTTACCAGTACTGGAAATATCAAAAAGTGTATCAAATCCTAGCCAGCCAGCAAAACATGTAATATGATATGGTCGATTTGATGTAGGACAAAACAAATTGTTAGAAGGAATGGTTTGTAAAAGAATCACAGACAATGAAGAGTGTTCACGTTTCCCAGACAAGTGCCAAAGCCCAGATTCAGCATGATAATATAAAAAAAAATTTTGACAAAGCTGTCAGGTCTGTGTCAGCCCTCTATGTTTTGCATGGTATTTAAGTGTGTACTCAAACATATGGTTTATGCAGTGCACTGAATAACAGTATAGTAGTACAGACTAATGTACATTATGGCACCTTTTTTGGTCACTCTTTTAGATTAAATACAAGTAGCCTTTTAAAATAATATCTGGATATTTTACACTTCTATAAATTGTCAGATGTGCTTGAAAATTAGATTGCTCACATCAGAACTGAAATTCAGTTCACTATGAAGTGTGATCTTCATATGCCTGTCACTTCAACACAAAGATATAATAAGAATAATAACTGAAATAAAACCTTTTAAAAATAACAAAGGGAGATGTATTGCAGAAAATTGCTTGTTATTGCTGTTCTGCAACTGATCTTGTAATAGCACAGTATATAAAGGCATTACTAGCGTTAGTGGTAGGAAAAAAGGACAAAGGCAGTACTTCGTCAGTCTGCTTCCACATAGTTGTTGGGAGACGAGGGAAGACTTTCATCTCTGTGCTTCAATCTATGACCTCAGCACAGAAATGAAAGGAACTAAGGATTTTAAAGATTTATTTGAAGTCATAGGATTTGTAATACAGGCCTCATCGATTGCTCTGCAATCCAAAGTGTTGTTTTTATTCCCCATAACTAATACTATATAGATTTCCCAGCAACTTCATTTAGACATGGAAAAGAGATGTCTGTTAGTGTCATTTATTGTTGTGATTGTTTCTGATGATGAGCTGTAAGCAAATAAGACTTCATTTTCTGATTGTATGCTTTCATATGTTCTTGTATCTGGCTAGCCAGTATGTTTCTAGAGAATCATTGTATTTGTAAACTGAGCTTATATTATGTTCTGAAGAAATATCTGGTGGAAAGAAAATTTTCCTTGGCCCGTGACTCTTTTAAAAGTGGGGAAAAAAAAAGAATGTGTATTTGGACATTTTGTTTGTGTTTAATAGACAGAATGCAAATACTTGCAGTGGGTTTGGATTAGAAATGTACTTTTGTCTCATCTCCCTCCCCATTCACAGGTTCGAGAATCAGTAATAAACCGTTTCCTCATAGCAAAACACCATTTCCTTCTCTCTGACCTTGTCAATGAAGAGGAGATTCCCAGCCTGGGGTAAGGGAGTTATCTTTATTTGTTTTAAATCAAAATAATGAATGTAAAACAGTCTCTGATCTGTTTTTGCGAAGTGTATTGATGTGACTAATCGATGCGATTTTGTGCTTAGTATAATATGTAAATTTCCAATGACTATGTACATCTCTACCAGTACAGACAGTGTATTGATACACAAAGTGCATAAAAACTTTTTTAAGAAAAAGTCTGATTTTGGCAGAAGTAATGTGACAGCATGTAAATAAGATTTAGCAGGATATAATGCATCAGGCTGTGATCTGATGAGCTGAGCATAGCCTTAGCTGGTGCGGGATGGAATGATTTCCAAATATCAGACAAGTGTCAGAGGTAGTGACATTACTACTGGTTCTATAAGTGATGCTCACTTAGAGTCAGTGCATGTGCCCTGGAAACAATGTGCAATAGATTTTTTTTAACAGTCATTTTCTTTATTTTACTTCTCATGTATTTCTGTTTGCTGTTGCTGGATGTCATCATGTGCTGTTTACTTTCAGAAATGTTACTGGGTTTGGAAATCAGTTCTTTTTTTCTTTTAAGATTATTATTTGTTTTATTACTTAAGCAATTTCTTTGAATTTTTATTCCAAATCCCATACTTGTTGATTTTGACATTTACCAGTCATCACAGCATAGATGACTCTTAATTAGTGTTGCTCACTTAAAATCTGTGTAAGTAAACAGGCTGTGAAAGTTGCTTGTGTTCACTATAAATGTGACACCCTTAAAGTACAGACTGAGCTTTTTCAATCAGCAGTATAAATCTGAACAGTCCCATCTGCTGGAGATGCAGAGCCTTGCTCTCTTACAAAAGAGTTCATCCTGTTTTTTAGTTCGTGTTTTCACATCACAGAATGGAAAAATCTGAACAAGACTATAATCCGCTTTTGGACTTGTTTAAAATCAAAGGCTTCATTGATATTTTCTTATCATGAATACTAATTCATACTGGATTCTATTTGCTAATTTATATGGCTTGTGAATTTTAAATACATCATGATTTAAAGCATCTACTTAGCGAGATATTTCAGTAACGCATGGTTTTGTGTTATTTTTAACAGTAATTACTGTGATTTTTTTTTTTATTACGTATATGAAATAATGCCATTGGCTATTCAGTTTTTAAAGTAGATTTTGAAATGTCTGCAGTTAATATGAATGATGTGTAAAAACATACATCTGCTTTTTATTCTTTCCCCCCCTTTTTTTTTCCTTTGTTCTGCTTTGCCTTGGGTTATAAGTTCTGAGGGTCCAGGGTATGTTGTGGCATATTCATTCTGCTTCCTTTCTGTAGCCTATTGTTTGTTGTACATAGCTGTATAATTAGTTTTTTTGCCTATTCCATACAGTAGTTCTTGTCATCTGCTAGTTACCTTGTTTATAGCACTGTAGTTTAGGTCTATCTTGAACCTGTGTAATGGTCTTTGGAAAAAAAAGGTTTTTTCACATTTAAGTTATGATTTCTGAAATAAAAGACAGGGCTGGATTGTGTCGTACTAAAAAATTAAAACATTTTGACATTTCATAGAGTTTTGTATTGCACTAACAGGAGTATGTATTTCCTTTTTCAGTTAGTGCATAATTTGCATGTGTGTCATAGAAACACTAGAATGCTGGATTCTATGCAAAAATGACTAAATATCTATTTTATGATTATAGTATTTTGGGACTCAGCCTCTTTAAACTGGCAGAGCCAAAACGACCATTAAAGCCAAGAAGAAAAGAAAGGAAGAAGGTCACTGCACAGAATTTATCAGATGGAGACATAAAACTGTTAGTGAACATTATTAGAGCTTATGATATTCCAGTGAGAAAACCAGTGATGAGGTATGTTCAAATGTGTGTTTCCAATACAGATTCATTTTCTGGTTGCAGCTGTTTTGAGGACAGCTGAAGCAACTAGTGTTGAAATTTAGCCATGTTTTGATCCTAATGATAAGAACATGTATACATTTATCTCTTTATTGGTAAAGAACTGCTGTTTTGTAAGTTTGTAGAATAATATGATCATTTATCAATAACTGCTAAATTCAAGAAATGTTTTACTGAAAACTGTGTTCAGCTGCTTGAGGAAAAACCTGTCTGGAAGATAACTTACACCTTTGACATTATAAGTCTGGTAATATCAGATGAGTTATACCTTAAGCAAGCCTGCTAGTTATACTCAGGGCAATTTTAATTCATAATACCTTCATTAAATACCAAAAGTAAGTATTAAAAAAATCCAGTTATTCATTGTGGGATACTATATTTGTCTCCTGAGTGTAGCATGTTGGTCATCTTCTTCATGAACTGTTTGTTTAAGTTAATGGACTGAGCCCAATTTGGCTCTGACTAATTTTAAAGGTGACCATTACCTTCAGGCACATTAAGGCAACGTCTGCACTGTGTGATGCTGTGTCATGTAGAGATAGTGCAGTTCTGAACAGTCTGGTTGAGTTCCAGAAGCAATGCATTAGTGCAGCGTTCTCTCTCTCTCTCTCTCTCCCAAAATGAATACACCTCATTTAACTCGGAGTTATTTTCAAGCTGACCCGTTACTGTCCATGTAGAATCTTCTGCTGTTTTATCTCTTTACTGTGAATAAGGTTCTGTTCGATTTCTGTAAATAAGTTCATACTGAAAAAAGCAATTCATATTAGAAACATGTTGACAGGAAGGAAAAGATGAAAATTTCAATTCAGTATCAGTATTATAAAAATAACTAAAAACCCTCCCAATCTTTTTGCGTTATATGCTCTCTTATTTTGAGCTGCTTTCCCCATGAATAGTTACTCTTTTATAATCTCTACTGTGGTGTTATTACAAAAAGAGTTATGTGGAAACACCGTAAAAATAAACATATTAACATTTATTTTATTTCAGTCATGAGTTGCCGATTGTGTAATATTCTCCTGGGTTTAATTTTGTCACAGAGGCCTTGCTGTAGAGGCCTTGCCTGAATACCATGAAGTCTACATTGTTTATGAATTCTGTGGGGATCCATCTCCTTGAACTGAAAAACCTGTAGCTCAAGGAGATTGTATGGGGGAGGCAAAAAAAAAAGTCTGGAGTTGATAAGCTCTTCAGAAAAGAGAGCCTCCAGGCACAAAGCACTCTTTTTCAATGAGGCTTACAAGCGCTATACACTTGCTATTCCTTTCTGGCACTCTTTTCATCTTATTTGATCAAATAAATATCTTTTCAAGGTTAAAGTCATAACACAAATATCAGAAGTATTTCCATAATTCTGTATGTTTAATACAGAATGTGAGGGATTCATATTTGGTAATGTGTTCTCTGTCTTTTCTTGTTGTTGTCTATTTCCTCTTGTAGCAAACTTCAACAACCATCCAAATCTTTAAGGTCCTTTAATGAGATGTTTGCAGCCTCTCCATCGGCTCAGAGCCCAACTAATAGCCCAGATTGGATATTCAACCAGGTATATTACAAAACTAACATTTTCTTACATGAAGTTGTGAGCATTCTTCTTTTCCACAGACAGTAACATTCACCATCAGAAAGATATCTTATTAGTGAGGCTGTTGCCCACTCTTTGATCTCAAAAAAGATCGTAAAGTTGCAAAAGGTTCAGAAAAGGGTGATAAGGATGTCCAGAAATACGGAATGGCTACTGTACAGTGGCAAATGGTTGGGCTTTTCAGCCAGAACTGCAGCATCTGTGAGTAGGAGAGGGGCAATATGATAGAGAGGCACAAAATCATGAGTAATATGGAGACTGTGGGTAGGAATTGACTGTTTACTAGCTCTTTCAGGACAAGGGTGAGAGATTGTCAAATGAAGCTGGTAGGAGTTAGATTCAAAACAAACAGAAGGTGGTGATTCTTCATGCAGCAGTTAGTAGGTGTCCAGAGAAGTTGCTTACATATATTGTGGACTAAAGAGGGTTGCATTGAAGTGGGTATTGGACGAGTATTTGGAAGAGCGATCCATTGGGAGTTACGAAATAGAAATATCATTACAGGCTTAGGAAAGTCCTTAACCTGAAAACGGTTGAAGCCTAGAAGAGTAATAGGAGAAAATACCATATATGCCCACGCTGTTCTTGCTCTTCTGTATGTGTCTGCTGATGGCCATTTTCACAACCTGAATTTTGGGCCCAGTGCACTCTTGCTCTAAACCAGCACAGCCATTCTTATGGCTGATACTGAAACTACATTTGCTTGCTATTGAGAACTAAATTCAGCATCCTTCTGAATGAAGACAGAAGCCCTTCAGGGTTTTTTCCTGTTTTTCTTAAGATTTTGCTTCAAAATTACAGCTTTTTGAAATGTAGAAAAGGTTCTGCCCTATGCATTTGAATGTTGATCACAGAATCGATTTGGTTGGAAGAGACCTCTGGGATTATCGAGTCCAACCTTTGCCCTAACACCACCATGCCAACTAGACCATGACATGAAGTGCCCCATCCAGTCTTTTCTTAAAAGACATCCAGGGTTGGTGACTCCACCACCTCGCTGGGCAGCCCATTCCAATGCTGAACAACCCGTTCTGTGAAGAAATGCCTCCTAATTTCCAGCCTGAACTTCCCCTGGCACAGTTTGAGACTATGAATGAAATGCTCCATTAAGGCATTTTTAATCACATTAGAGGTTTGTTGTGTCTGGTAGAAGTTGCTTATGTGTAATAGGAGCCAGTTTCAGAGACAACCAGGATTGTAGCAGGAGGCTTCTTGGATTACAGATAAAAGGATACAAGTGCACTTTTTTCCAGTAGTGTCTGGATCACATGTTCTGTTTCAGTTATCTCCTTTGATTAGGTAGCCAGTAGCTTTGCCACTCTCGGAGGAAAATGTGGTTTTGCTGGTGTATATAAATATGTCAAGTATTCTCAATACGCATAATCTTTTGGAAATGCTAATATACAACATATTTTTAAAAGCTTCATAAATGCTTAGAAGCCTGGTAAGTGCAATATTTAAGGTGTATTAAAGTTTTATCTGGGCTGTACCAGCCTGATCTCCACAAAGTATACATTTATTTTTCTAAATGTATAAAAATGTGTAATTTAATGTGTTCTGATGAATTTTTAGAGAAGTCTGTTTCCTTTGTTTTGATCTCTATTTATAGGTTTTAGTCCGTCCTTTTGTAGAAGTTTCTTTTCAACGAACAGTCTGCCGGACAACAACAGCAGAGGGTCCGAATCCCAGCTGGAATGAGGAACTTGAGCTTCCATTCAGGTATGCCAAAATGAAACCAAATTATTTCTGAGTAATAATAATTTAATTTGAGCATGCAAATTTATTGAAATTTTCCTGTTCTGTTCAAATCACTTTTTAGTTTATTTAACCTTTTCAGAGCTCCTAACGGTGACTACAGCACTCACAGTTTGCAGTCAGTGAAGGATGAAGTCTTCATTAATGTTTTTGATGAAGTACTTCATGATGCTGTAGAGGTGAGTTCATAATTGAAGGACAGTGTACGTTACAGAATATTATGAGGTTTTTGAAGTTGACAGAATAAGACTTTTCAGTGTAATAGCTTTCAGCCTCCTGTGCCTCTTTTTTCTCTATTTTGTCATTCCTCATGACTTTTATCTCTAGTCAATACTGCAAGGTAGTTAAAGGGAGCAATCTTTCTACTGTTAACCTTTGTCTGTACAAATTAATTTTATACTATATAATCTGCTGCTAGAGTTGAACCTTGTGTTTGTAATCTGTTTTACCGATATTTAATGAAACTGAAGATACTAAAGTTGAGAGGCAACATATGAATTGTAATCTGAATTCTGTTCTTCTTAACTTAATCAGAATCTTTTACTAAATTCCAGATGAATGATCCCAGGTCCTGTATTTTTATTAACTATCTTTTTATGCTCTGTCTCATCCTGTTTTACAAGCTGTTGGGTGAAAAAAAAATCTTCTGGTTGTATATATTAATTTTTTTGAATGAGATAATAATTGCAAGTACTAGTAACAAATTTTTGTAAGCTCTCAGTGTTGGCATAACTCCTTCCCCTGCTGAAACCAGTGAAAGCTTTCCCAGTCAATTCAGTGTGGACAAAAATAGCAACATTCAACATTCGTGAAAATAGAACCCAAAAATAAATAATGCACAGACTTTGCTGAGAACAGAATTCTGTCCTCGAAACTGAAATGGTATTTGATGAAGCAGAAGGAAGAAAGATACAGTCTTGAAACTCAGATGTCACTCTAGCCTTTAGAGAATTTTTTTTAAAACAACTTGTAGGCTGTTCATACTAGATTTGGAAATCCCTTATAGGCAGTATACTGAAAACAATACTTCCATTCCACAGGGTTTAGTTAGATTTTCATATAATTTTACCTTCAAAAAGCTTTTTTAAATACTAGTAAAATATTTAATTAGAAGATCAGAGTGTAATTTACTTTGTCTGAGAAGACTGTTGTGGACTCCTTGTCAGATTTTTGAGTTCTCTATCAGAGGTTACAGGACTCGAACCCTGAAGTACAAGCACATTGTACTTGTATCATGGACCGTGATGTTCTTGTATTTGTTCAGCACCTGGCATGTTTGAAAGGCATGCAGAATAATCATTACCATACTAGTAATTGAACTGATATTTATAGTAAATTATTAAAACAATACAGAATTTTTATTAATGCCTTGATTAAATGTTGATCGAATTAAAGGAAATGAAGCTGTCTTACAAAGTGTTATGTTGGGCAACTTTTTAACAGGATGATCATGAAAGAGGAATTGGAATCCGCACTCACATCGAGAGACACTGGCTGGGATGTGTTAAGATTCCATTTACTACCATATATTTTCAAGCGAGGGTAAGTGTCAATAACTTGGAGTAAATCTCTTCAAATACAAAACTGGAGAACGGGAAGGGGCTGGTAATGGAATGTCAGATTTAATGAAGTTTTCTGCCCCTGTTAGTTTATTTTTATGGAATTGTTTGAAAATGTCTTTGAAACCACTGTTTTTTGTCAAATTTTGTGAGTATTTGTCAATAAGGTCAATGTTTTGAAGAGAGAAGAGATAAACATAATTCTACACTGACAATGCAGCCTGGCTTCCTTCAAGCAATGGCAGTTATTTCAAGGTGCATCTAGCAGTTAAATTTCGGTAGCAAATGAAGCATTTCTTCATCCTCTTGTGCTATAGTGCAGCAGAACTTCTGAGTGATTTATTTAGAGTTTTCTCCTTATCAAAACTGAATATTGTTCTTAAATGTTTGATGAGCCAGCCCAGTGAGTCATCTATTCACCTTCCACATCCACTGAATGTATCCTTCCTGATGGCAGTCATCTGAATTCTGCCCAAATCAGGAGGTTAATCTTCTTGCATTTCTCTTAAAGCTGTGTACTTCCACTGTTGAAGCTTGTCTAAGCAAGTGTCAGGCATGCCATCTCTTGTCTGACACGATCTTTCAGAAAGACCTTATCTTCTGTTCATGGTGGCAGAGGAGGTGCAGAGGGCCTCTTTGCGAGGCTTGGTGAGTCTGTCAGAGCACTCTGCCATGGGGAGGCTGGCTGAATGGGCCCAGTTCCAGTTGTACCCAAGAAGCATCAGCAGCTTCTGCGTGGAAGGTGTCGATCTGTGAGATGTTGGAGCATCGTTCCCACATCACTGAAACACAGGCAAAGGCCTGTTGGTGTGATGCTGCTTTCAGAAGTGTAGTCCTGCGACCTTTATTTTGCCATTTTGTCATTTTTTCCGGGTAAATAGTGCCATGTGGAGATTGCTGTTTGAAGGAAAAACGGTGAAAGGCTGCCACTCTTTCTTTCTCTAAGAACTAATGTGTATGATTTCCATTTCATTAAATATTAGTGTCCATAATATGCAAGAGAGGCTGAAATCCAGTTGTAATTAATAACAATGAGAAGTCTCATGTTTTCCCCACAGTTAATCAGAATGTATGTCATATTCTCTTATTTTATTGTTTTGTAATTCAGAGTAATAAAGAAATGAAAGGAATAAAATACTTGAATACAAGTGACAAATGTATTGGAGGAGGAAGTTTTGTGGTTTTGATTCTAATGAGAAGCATTTCTCTGTATATGTTGTAGATTGATGGTACGTTTAAGGTGGATATTCCTCCAGTCCTCCTTGGCTACAGCAAAGAAAAGAACCTGGGAATCGAGAGAGGTTACGATTCTGTGCGAAATCTGAGTGAGGGCTCATATATAACACTGTTCATTACCATTGAACCACAGCTCATTCCTGGAGAGTCAGTCAGAGAGAAGGTAACTAATCAGCAATTCATCGTATTCTTGCTTTTTGTTTCCAGTGGTGCAGTTCTTGAGATGCATACAAATGGGTATGCTTAGTGTACCAAAGGACATGAATACAAGTAGAGAAGGACATTAATACAAATTGTGAGTGTTCTACTTAAAATTTTTTAGCTCAAATCAATTTAATTGTATGCACCATTAAGTTAGATGGACACTTAATGCACGAGAAGTAACTTTCACCAGGTATCTAGCTCCAGTGTTAATAGAAAGCAAATTTGCATTCATTATCTGTGGGCATATAATTTTCCCATTTACTTCTGTAAACAATAAAGTATTCACGTGAGTATTTGTGAACAGTGGACAAAAAGGAGGTGGCAGGTGCAAACATAGTATTTTCTTGCTTCCATGTTTATACTATTCAAATAGACCATTTATTATTTACAGCTTATGCATGCCTCCAGAGCTTGAGGATAATTATTTCTAAACAGCAGCTGGCTTTTTGTTTTCAGTTATTTTACTAAACTAGAAGTGCCTTACACTAACAACAACAATATGTAGTTAAAATGCATATACTGCTTGCTGTTTTATGTTAACATTATGCAATGATTTTGAGATCCATTCAGCAAGGATGTGTTTTTCGTGCACAAACAGCAGCAGTTCATTCTTTTCCAATTCAGTGCTACACTGGTCGCTTATTAGAGACAAACAGGAACTGGAGAGAAAGTTCTATCATTATGTAGTTTCATTTTCAGAATAAATATAGAATTGTATGATGCATTCTAAAAATCCTTTTTCCTGTTAAATTATAGTCTTGGAAACTATCCTGTCCTATGTTTTCTTGCTCTCATACGATACCATGGGAATTGTTACAATTTAGTACTGTTGAAAATAAAGAAAATTTATAAAGTGTATTTGTGGATGCCTTTTAAGGTTAATTAGTTTGAGTGATAAGATTATTACTAGGACTCAGAACCATAAATATAAACTTACTAGCCTTGAAGCACCTTTAATAGATGAGACCGTATTGAAGAGTTTCATAGTCCTAATCTTCACATACAATAATTAGTTGCTAGGAAAAAAATGTACTGAATTTGTAAGAAAACAGATCTCTGTTTATAGAAAGACATGTCTCCAGTACTGTTTCAAAAGAAAAATCATAGAAATTCAAATAAGGGGTGAGATTATGGTAAAATATTATGGACTATATGTTGCAAATCTTGACCTCTTTAAATAATGAGCAAATGTTCAGAATTTCTTGCATAGATGCAATTTGATGCTTAGTTACCAAAAGGTTATGCATTGTATTAATGCTTAGTAAAATGGTGCAGTTTGGTAACTATATTTAAAATTGATTTGAACACTTCAGAGGGAAAAACCAACATATTTTATTAAAGTCATGGATTTCTCTGACATAAGTTCTCTTTCATTTCAAATACGGTGGTAGGAGCTGACTGCCCCTTGCCAAAACTCAGACATGAAGAACTAGAAAGAGACTGAAGTACCTTCCATTCTGAAGATGCAGCAAAGAATCATAGCAGAGTAAATCACAAGACAGGAAATGAGTCCTATTCTAAGTAGCAGGAAATACTACATGTCAAAGCTTCTCTTCACAAGGAGCCACACTGGGAAGACAAGGGGTAATGGGTACAAGTTACACTGGTAGAGGTTTTGTCTCGATATAAGAAGGAAATTTTTTACACTGAGAACGGTCATTCGTTTGAACAGTCTCCCCAGGGACATGGTAGAGTTCCCATCACTGGAGGTTTTCAAGCTGCAATTGGACAGGGTGCTAGATAATCTCATCTGGGCTCCCTTTCCCACAGAAGGTTGAACCAGGTGGTCCTTTGAGGCCCTTTCCAACCAGGGCTGTTCTATGATTCCATGGAAGCTAAACTGTACCAAAAAATATGCATTGACACTGAAGTGCACTGAAACTAAAACCAGGAATAAAGAAAATGTTGCCCAGGTAGGAAAACTATTTGTACAGAAGATCTGTTTTCTAAAATTTGAAGAACAGTGGAAAAAACAGTTGTGATTAATACATCAGTATGAGTTTTGCCAGATTTTTGTTCACTCTTTGCACTAGAGTTTTTTCTAAATCGTATAAAAATTTTACTTAGCAGCAGATTATTTGTTTACCTTGGATACTAAGCCAAACCAAATTATTTGTTTAGCAAACATTGTTCAGGATTTTCAAATAATCCATCTTTTCAAAGCAATATGCATAGAAAACAATAAAATATAATTTCATGTTAGAGGAAACTAAGTAGAGCAGGACCAAATTCATTAAGAGACTCTTCTGGTTTAGGTGGTATGTATCTAATGAAATCTGTACGTAAAAACATTGCTAAAGTGACATGTGCATGTATTCTAACTGTGACTGAAAAAGTTACAATTCTGTGCTGCAACTCCCCAAATGTAACACATATACTTACTATAGAAAGTGTTTGGCATAAAATGACAAAAACTAACTCAATATTTTGCTGTCCTTTGTTCCATTTCCTA